GGGGCAGTTAATGACTTTTACCAAGTGAAAATAGGCTCAGAGATGCTCAGCATCAGCAGCTGTAGGGGAAGGCAGAGCGCCGCAGACGTCAGGCCGGTTGGAAAATCAACTCTTGGTCACCAGTTCTACAACTGATGGATGAGTAAGGATTTACGCCGCACAAGGTCCTTTGTGAATGACATGGCATCAGAGGTCACCAGCATAAAAGGAGGTTTGGGATAACACTTCCATCAGCACAAACCCAGCCCAGCATGGCTCTGCATCAGCTTTTAAGAGACCACCTTCATTGATAGTCTTTCTCTCATGGCTTCATTTCTTCGAGATGTCATATACTTGATAATATTCTGAAGCTTAAGAGCACCATAGCATGGGAGATGTTTCCTGGGTCATATCACAATAGAGTTAATTGTAGCCTGTGTGGTGTTTTGAGCAGCTATAAAGGAAGCTGTGCCAAAATTGAGGATTTTAGGGGACCTCTATTAGAAAACACCCCCCCTGCCATGTTTCTAATATTTTTATTTGCAGCATAACTATCTAAAATTGTTGCTGGCATATTCTGATATGTCACAGCATCATCTAATCTGCAGGCTAAGTTAATGAAGTGCCTTGAGACACTTAACATCACGTTCTGCCAATATGTGGATGTTATTCTGTCCGGAGCCACTTCTTTCAGGGTGGTTTGTTGGCGATTCTGAGCAAGTGCAGGTGCTACACGGACGCAAGGTGACTGTGCTTAACCACGCGGGGCAAGTGGCAGAGGTCCAGCCAAACTCTGAACATCCTTTGCCGGGAAGGGAGGGAAAACGCCGGCTTTGCTCTCCTCTGAGCTCAGCACAACACGTCCCAGGGCAGTCCCGCAGCATATGGCAGAGCAGCCTTCTGGAGGTGTCGCTGTATCACATCCAGGTAGAGCCCCAGGAAAGAATTGTTGCTCTCAGACTAAGCCAAATTCCTGCCCTTTTCCTCAAGGCTACTGGTTTCACACCATTCTGGGAGGCAGCTTTGTCTCCCCTGGTGCAGACCTGGAAAAGCACATGATGACAGCTTGTGGGCTATGCATCCCCCCTGCTCATCCTCCACCTGTAGCATCACCACTGAAAGAGACCTTTACCCAATGAGGTAATTTGGCTGGCACCAAATATTTCAGCCCCTTTCCTAGCAAACTCTTTCCAAAGCTAACAGCAGAGCTAGAAGCACCCTACGGTGCTCCAAGAGTTGTGTGTTGTAAATCAGAGATCACCATAGCCACCACTTGTGGAGATTTCAGACCAGTGTCATTTTTCAAACCAGCCTGACATTTAAGTTTATGCTAAAAACCTCCACTGACTTCAAGATTTTGACTGGGAATGTTTGCAAGGAATGTGTTAAATACCTGGTGAGTGAGTGAGTGAAGATGCCAGCAGCAATCAAGATTTTTATTTTTTTTCCAGAGTGGCTCTCAGTGCAACCGCAATTCTTCACCACAGATATGCGAAAGCAAGCACGCGGTGACCTCTGAGCCAGGCTGCGGAGAATCTCCACGGGAGATGATGTTGGTATTTCCTGTGATACTCATCACTCGTGTCACCCGGAATATGGAAAATTATCATACATCTGCCTGAAGGGGTACAAAGAAGACTCAATCTCTATCCTGGTCAAGCACAGGTAGAGGGATGAGCTGGGAGAGCCCTGCGGTGGCTCACCAAAACCTCCAAGTACTTTGTATTTTGGTCAGTGAGGGTGGGGAGAGGGGCTCAGACCATCTGAGTTTTCACAAGCGAGCCCAGGACTTGCACAACAAGCTGCAATAGCTTCTCACGTGGCCACAGGAGGTAATTATTAACACCCAGCGCTCAGAGAGTCTCAGCCACTAGCACTTTGAAGCCAGACCAGCAGCACTCTGGTTTTCGGATGGGCAGCTGGGGGCATGGAGGCTTACAGCTGCTCTTCATGGGTCCCAACACCATCGGGGATGGCTCACTGTGCTCAGCCTGTTCTCCCTAATGTTATTTCTCTGATTTTGTTACCCAGAGCAGGTTTTCATCCTCTCTGGCACCCCTTCTCCGATCTTGGTCACAGCATTTAATCTCCCTGACCCACTTTCCCCATATGCAGACTAAAGGATGCCGTGAGAACATGTTAACGCTGTGCCTTCGAAATGCCTTTTTTTTTTTTTTTGGCAACTTGCTTATCTTTTCTCAGATTTCAGAAGGAATATTTACTCTCTGCTGCCTCTCCAGCCCTTTCTGGTTTTTTTCATACTTCCTTGGTGCGCTCTCAGCCAGCAGGACAAGACTCGCAAAGTGGTGTTTGTCGGTGTGCCAGCACCAAGCACCGTATCATTTTCTGCCGTGTGTCTGTCCTTGATATTGAGTTTCACATTTTTCTGGAATGAAGCCCTATTGTACAACACCCATCTAAACCCTGAATTAAAGCTACTGGAGTTCCTTCTCTTTTGTGCTAGCGTGGCCAGGATCATAATCTGCCTGGTACTACAAGTACCCCAAATATAAAATTAACTTCAAACAGCGCTGATTCTGCCCTCAGGGTATATCAGAAGCCCTGAGACAGCCCTGGAAGCCACAGGCAAGCAAAAGGCATATGGTGTACAGATATCCTTTTAAAACTTTTTTTGTATCCTTTTGCTGTAGCAAGGCCGAGTCTGGCTGCCACCGATGGGTGATGGCAAAGCATCTGTGATCTTCAGCAGGTAAGAACCAGGCTCACCCATCTAGTGAGGGCATCACTGTAACGGGGCATGCCTATGCACAGGGACTGGCATTCAATACAGCAGCATGGCTTAATAAACTAAGTTTAAATAAAACCGTAAGGTCACCCAAAGGTGATTTTTTTTTCATCCCCCGCATATATTATTGACTATACAACTCGTGCTTAATTTTTGTAGAAGGGAAAAATCTGGTCCTTGCAGCTTTTAAGGAGGTTTTAAAATAACTATTCTCCTATCTCTGTGGTTTAAATAGAATCGTAACCATACTACTTATAGCCTGGAAAAGAGACAGGATGCCAAAATATCAGGCATTTTTAATAGACTAAGAGAAAGAAAACACTGGCTTGGGTATCAGCAGGATTAGGAAAAAGAAGGCAAGATTTGAGTTAGAGATCACAGTTCCAGGCTCCACCATAGGAAGCTGCTTAAATTTTAAGGAAATATGATTCTGCAAAAGTTGGAACCCTGCTGAAAAGACCCAACAGTAAAACAGGCACGTAAGGTATACTTGGAACACAATTCCCAGCAACAGCACTGATGCCTTCCCCCTAAGTCTTTGTAACACAACTCTACCCCATTACTCTTTAAGATTCACTATCTATGATCTGATATTTCAGGATGAAGATATAATTAGCACTGATAACCAACTCCTGCTGTGATCTGAAGTTCTTGACAGCTTTCCTTTTGTACCCAGATGCATTTTTCTAACAGTTTTGGAAATGATCATTAAGTCTCACTTTGTTTTCAAGATACTCCATCCATGGTCATATTTCTTAGCCCAGCTCTGGCATCCATCCTCCTCCTGCCTGCCTTCTCTGCCGCTAAACCGAGCGCTCAAATTGGCAAACTTCTCCTTACGCACTTCGAGAAATGTTGCCCCTCTGGTGTTCAAACTGGAGTTGGGGGTAGAAACAAGACATCAAACCAAACCAGAAGCCCCACCTCATTTCATTCCCTGCCTAAATCTGAAGCTGTTGCTTTAGCCCTCTTCTGATCTAACTGTCACACGTCTCTTCTGTGCTCACTTCGCAGTCAGGACAACTAATTCTCAGTTGATGCCTAACAACTTTGGACTACTCTCTACAGAAATACTCTTAGCACAGACACAGATTTTTTTCACGGAAATTGAGCTTATCTCTTGTCATTGTGTGTGCGACTTGCTCCAGCACTGCAATGATCAATGTTTGTGATGTATCACGTAACATTTAACAAAGAAAGCACTGGACAGCTTCCCCCGAGATGGCTAAAAAGTTGTGTTGGGATCTTGCCATCAGGCTGCCGGTTAAAATACTTTCAGAGAAGTTTTTGTAGAACAATAAAGCAGGTTAAAACGCCACACTTAGTAAACGGAAATTACCCATTGAGAAGGTAGTTTACAAATCAGTACAGTATTAACCAAGCCACCATGTTAAAAAAACTGCTTTGCCAACTAAAATTAGCGATCCACAATAACGCACTCTCTTCTATCATTAACAGTGGAGCGATTAGCTAAAACAGAAATTTGCTTGCAGCAGACACAAAGAATTGTGCTATTTAAACCTGTTGCCCATCATGAACTTAAGTCTTCTTAAAAATAGCTTTAGTCACTTTTATTGGTATAAACACCTAAATTGAGATCTAACAGCAAATAAGGATTGTGCTTGTCCATAATAACCTCAGCTGTGAAATCTACTCAGACACAAGACATACAGCCTTCCACATACACAAGTTATTTGTCAGCAAAGCAGAATGCTGCCATTCTGAAACAATTACATACAGTAAAAGTTTTCAATATTTTATTAAAGAAAACAGTCAAAATGTACAAGTATTACCCAGGTTTGTAGATAACTTCCTATAAAGGCAGTAAAATATGAATTTCAATCTAGGTTTTAAAAACTGCTATAGTTGATTATTTTTAAAGTTGATATTTTTTAAAATCACGTTTCACAAATAGTTCTGAAATATTACCAAATGAATAGTGCAACAAGAAAATTGAAATTAGTTCTACACTGTTTGCATGTCAAGCAAAAGTTATAAGTAACTGCTTCAAATACTCAAACCATTTGAGAATGAATGAACCCAACAGCTCCCACCAAAAACTGACTTCTGACCACATTAGGAACATCCTCTTCTTGTTCTTCACTTAAAATCAAATAATAATAAAACAACACCTCTTGAGGTCATCAAAAATAACTTTAGTATAAAATCGTCTTGGCCCTTATCAAATATTACATGAGTAAAATTGTTAAGCCTTTATCAAAAC